ATTTTATTTTATGTATTCTACCGTGTTTAGAGATCCCTAATTTCAGGCACTCATCTATCAAATTCGAAGATATTTCTCTATTTTCGAATTTTACTTTTTATTGTTGAAAAAATACATCAATACGAATATTTATTTTTTATTTTTTATATTATACTAAAAATCAATTTTATATTCAAAACATTACATCAGTTTTTATTTATATCACGTCATACAACTATTCAAATTCAAATTTTTTACTATTCAAATCCCAATCCAAAATCCAAACCCTCAAACAAACACACCCTGAGTAAACACGAACACAATGACTTGCAAACTATATCATAATTGGATGGTAGGCTCACACAAATAGGTGTTAATAGTGTTTAATTATTCTATAAGAAAATTCAATAGTTTTGCATTATTCATTAAAATTTTCTCTAGAAACATCAAATTTTATATTTATTTTTATTAAAAAAAATTAAATTTATTTATATCATATGAAATATTATTTTAATTCAATTCTTATTATTATGAATCCTTACATCCAAATTCAAATTGAACTTTGAGTGTGTTTGTTTGGGGATTGGATTTTAAATACATTATTCATCCTATTTTTTTTCTAAATGATATCAAATCAAACACCTATTTTTTATTTTTTATATTATATTAAAAATCAATTTTACATTCAAAACATTAGATCAACATTTATTTTTATTATATCATACAACTATTCAAATTCAAAATTTTTACTATTCAAATCTCAACTCAAAATTCAAACCCCAAACAAACACACCCCAAATAAATTTTGAGTGAACAAGCTTCTTTTTTTTTTTTTTCATACAATTTCAGCTCTATTTATTATACAATTATTATATTTTTAAATAAAAATACATTAATTTTTTAATAAAATTTTACATTAAAATATTATTTAAATTGAAGTTCAAATAAAATAAAAAAATCAAATGCTAAAAAATTGAGAGTTGACGTATTAAAATGACAATGAATAAATTAAGAGTGAACAGAAAGAGTAACATTAAAGTAAGAGGGACAATTACTTAAAAAAAATGACAAAATAGATAAATAAAAAGTAACAGTAAATAATATTTTTAAAATTTTGCATAATAAATAAATATATTATATCTCATATATTTTCTATTATTTTAAACTTAAAATATTCTACAATCATTATAAATAAACACATTATGCATATCTTAATAATTTAAACTTTTAGATGAGATTGATTATTTATATCAGTCAAGATATATAGATACTCTTTTTGTACATCAATATTTATTTTTATCATATTGTTAATTTAACTTATTACTATATTTGAAAAAAAAATTTTAAAAATAATTATCATTTAACTATTATTGTATAGTATTTTATATGTATTTATAATAAATAATACTTCATCCGTTCTATAACTACAATATTTATTTGCTTTTTGCACGTAATTTTAGAAATATTAATATTATATTTGGATATAGTAAGAATAAAATAGAAATGACTAAAATAATTTTATTAGTATGTGTGATATAAAGATAATTGCATTTGTGTAATATATTGTAAGTTGTAAGGGTATTTGTAATGTTAAGTAGATAGTACAATTATTAAAAAATAAATAGATATTTTGTTATGAAACGGATTAAAATGAAAAAATAAATACTTAGTTATGGAACGGAATGAGTAGTAGTAGTAGTAATTTTATTATTTTTTATTTTTTTAATTATTAATTAAAATTTTTGAAAATATTTAAATTATTTTTTAATAAAATATTTATTTTTATTAAAATGAAATATATATTTTTGTGGGAGAGTAAGTGTAGGAGAAGGGAGACAGTTGGAATCTTGGAAGATAAAGCTACTGCTCTTGTGACGTCATCGTCTCCCACTTTTTCAATTATTTACATCTCACATCCATTATTATTATTATTAGTATTTTTTTGTTTTATGTGTATTTATATCTTCTAAGATAAAATAAATATATTTTCATATGGGTGTGTTTGTCATTGAGATTTTAATTTTGAGTTTTGAAATAAAATAATTATTTCATATGATATTATGAATATAAATTTAATTTAATATTTATAAAAAATTGCAATAATAAAACTAAAATTAAAATATAACAAACACACCCTATATATTTTAAATAATAAATATAAAGATTTAACGTAATACTCCTTCCTTTCGGTTCTAATTAGGGTGTGTTTGTTTGGAGAATTTTTTTTTTGAATTTTACTATTCATTCTATTTTTTTTTCAAAAATATCAAATCAAACACCTATTTTTTATTTTTTATATTATACTAAAAAGTAATTTTACATTCAAAACATCACATAAACACCAATTTATATCATATCATACAATTATTTACATTCAAAATATTTGCTATTTAAATCTCAATCCAAAATCCAATCCTCTAAACAAACACGCCCTAAAGTGAATAAATATAATAGTGTAAAGACTAAATTATTTTTATTTTTAAATATAAATATATAATAAAGCGAAGGTAAAATAATAAATAAATGTAAAAAGATGTATCAGTAGTTAGTCTAAGGTCCATAATTACTTTAAAAAATTAAATTTTTTTAATTTGACAGACAGTAGAAATATATAAATATTAAAAATAGAAAAAAAAAACATTTTTTTTTGCCAATAAAAAACAAAAATTAACAAAACAAAATATAAACATTCATATTAAAACATATGCATGTGAATGGAGTATTATTTATAGGTACTCGCTCCGTGACATTGTAAAGTTGTCATTTTTCATTTTTGTTTGTCCCAAAACAAGGTTATTATTTCCTAATTTAGTAATTGTACTACCTACCTAACATAATAAATATCCTTTCAACTTACACTATATTAAAATATTAAAAATTGATTATTTTTTATATTATGAAATAATTGTAAAAAATATTTTTGTTGAATTATAAATATATATATCAAATAATTTTAACTAAAAAGTAAAAATAACAATAAATATGACTTAAAATATGATTATATTGAAAACATGGTCGTGAACATAGCCGAGAACATAGCTGTGTTGAGAGGAACATGGCCTAGAACATTGTTGTGTTGAGAATATGGGCAGGAACATGGCTGTGTTGAGAACACGGCCGTGTTCAGAAGTGCAGGGTAATCAACACGGTCGTGTTGGCTGTCTGGGACGCCCAGTCACCTTCTGAATCATCCAACACAGCCGTATTCAATCCCAGTCAACCCATCTTAGAATTAAAATTGATAAATTTTTATTTGAGCGGGACCAAAATTGATAAATTTTTTTGAATTGGACAAAAATTGATAATTATGATTTGAATGAAACCAAAAATGATTTTTACTCTTTATTTTATTTATTTTATATTTTACTTAAATAATTTTTATTTAAAATATCAAATTAAATAATTAGAATTCAAATTCAAATGGTAATAATTTAAATAAAAAATAATGGGTGTGTTCTTTTTGTCAAAACAAGCTAAGGGTTTGTTTGTTTATTATTTTGATTTGAATTTTTTTTTTTCTTTTTTTTGATGTGAAGTATATAGAAATATATCAGTAATATACAAATAATTGTTTATATTGAATATTGACTTTTGTGATAGAATAAAATATATATATATATTGAAAAATATATTGGAGAAAACAAACCCTAAGATATTTCCTAAAAAATTAATATATTACACACCGTTGTTCTTATATTACTTATATAATTTTCAATAAATCACATAAAAAAATTTCTTTCAAACTATTTTACAAAACAAATACACCATTTGTTTATTTAACAAGATACTATGCATGGCTTGTCCCGTAACGGATGGCCTGGACTTGAGGTCATGGGTTCAAACCCCCGACGCCTCAGGTTTATGACTTTCCTGTCGAATTTGGTTTGCATGGTATGAGGTTTGACAATCAGAATTCCCACGTCATCAAACAAATAAAAAAAATACTATGCGTGGTTTTTTATATTTTTTCTCATAAAATATTTTTAAAAAATAAAAATTTTAAATTTTAATATCACTTTTATAATTTGTAAAAGTTAATTATTAATTTTTTAAAAAAAGTAAATAGTAAAGAACACAATTTAAAAGACAACCAGACAAAGTGGATACTATTGAAAAATAAATTTATATATATAGGAAATGAGAGAGACAGGCGAATTTCAAGAAGGATCGCTTAGAAATCTTTAAAGGCTTTGGAATTAACCCACAGATAAACTAAACTATCACTTTTTAGTAATCCCAATCTAATCTTTCTTTTCTTTTCTTATCCAAACAAAATTTCTTTTAGGGAAAGTCCAATCATAATCACATCTTTACCAATACCTAATCATCTTTCAAAACAATCATAATTCTTCATTATTATTATTATTATTATTATTATTATTGTTATTGTTATTGGCATTTCAATTCCTATTACTTACACTATTGTCACTCACCTCAATTATTCAATACAACATAATTCAAGAAAATAAATAAATAAATTGTATTTGATATAGTACGGAAGTGAACTTGTGACCGTATTATTTGCTACACATAATTGTCAGATCTAATTTGAAACTTGAAAGGTATTGGATGTGTTTTTTTGATGAGTTTGAAAAAAAAAATTGTTTGAATTTTATATTAAATTAAGCGTATAGAGATTTTTTGTGAAAAAAAAAAAAAAAAATCGAAGAAACCAACCCATTAGGTTCGACCATGGTCGTCTATCATTGGCATGTCGGGCCAAACACATGTTGAAAATTTTCAAATTTATTTTTGGACGTCTAAACACAATTTTTTTATGATGTATGAGTTTTCTTTCGACCTCAAGTTTATCCAAAGTGCACTCAAGAGCAGGGGGTGTGTTTGTTTGGAGGATATTTCTCTAAAATCCTGACTCAAAATCCAAACCCCGGACAAACACACCCTAGAAATATTCTTACCTCAGAATCACCCATAACATTTCGATATTCTATCAACAATAAACATCAAAACTAAAATCAAAATTTCAATGTAACATGCTTTATCTAAAAATAAAAACAATCTAAACAAGAAGAACAAAATCTGATAAGCAGCTAGCTAATACACAAATAGGATCATCCTTTCCTTAGGGCACCAATTTTTAGAGCTAATACAATCCTAGATCCAATCCAACTTAAAATACACCAACAAAATCGATCTCTCGGCACCCGACGGACAGCCGTTCCGAGAGCATTCGAACAAACAACAATCACGGCGCTCGATTCTCAAATCAAAAGACATATATTAGATCGATTTAAACACAAAACACACATTCAAGACCCGACTCGTCGCAACTCAAACCATACCTCGTAGTGATTGAACAACAAGCTATCATGCGTGTACTTCCCGCGATACTCCAGCCCGATACTCCGAAGCCTTTTTGTGCACTCGTCCCCGCCCAATCGAGAGCAAAATTTGATATTATGTGACACAAAAATCCGACCTTTCTGAGGTTTCAGTTTTCCGGCGAGTCTCTCCACGCCCGACCAAACGAGTTTGTCGGGCATGTGAAGAAAAACGGCGCTGGCGTAAATCAAATCATACGTCGCATCGGGGCCGAACTTACTGAACTCCATATCGTCGCCCCGTACTATCATGGGTCGTTTGTGTAGCAAGCCTTGCGATGGAATTTCGTACCGGAACGCCGCCATTAACGAGAGCTCGTCTTTCTCTAAGCAGTGGTAGTGTCCCGGTTCCAAGTAGCGGATAAAATGCAGGCCGACACGGAGCGTGCCGCACCCGATCTCGAGGACCCGTGAAGCTGTGGTTAGATTGGCTGACTCTGCGAGGAATTCGAACACGTCCCGGCCTCCCGCCCACGGCTCACCGTAATTGCTGTGATGTTCTTCGACGAGTAGCTCGCCTGGACAAGGAAGGGCAGTGTGGTTATTTGCTTCGTCGCCTTCGTAGTGAGATATGCCTTTGAACTGAAGGAGATCTTGGAGCTGCTGCTGTCGAGTGCGGGGGTTTATGCCTTTACGAAGCATGTTTTCCTGCATATGCAGTCCGTTGGCTTCGATCTGGCGCTTCACCCAATCGATGTCGTCTGATGAAGGAGAGATGGGTTTTCGGATGTTGGGCGGGGCTTCGGTTGGGCATGAGCATGATGTTGAGGAGTTCGAGAACGTGGAGACCAGGAAGAACAGGAGGATGGTGGTGGTGGCCAGGAGCAGAAGAAGGGTCGGAACTGATATCACCACTGCCTTCGATGGAAGTAGTGCCATTCGGTAGGTTGGGATGGATCGAGTATTTGCCTTTACTCACACTTTGGGCCGTGGGAATGTGCAGGTAGACTGAAGATCTTTGTTGCCCTGTAGAATATATAAATGTTCTAAGTTAGAGTCGTGATTACACGTCAATTTGACAAGATAAAGATAGCAATCATGGAATGGATTGGTTTAACGATAATCTTGCATATTCGTAAGGCTTTTCTAACTTGTTAATTTTAACTTAAATTGAAAAGACTACGAACCAAGAATGTTAATCAGAATTATGGTGTGTGTGAAGTGTAAAGGTAGGTATAAGAACATGATGCTCGCCCACAAACATTAAACAAGATAAGATGAAAAACTTTAAAAAACGATAAATGAATCCATGCGTCATCTGAAGTAGTTCCATTGTAGCACATAGAAGATAAAATCCAGAGTAAATAAGACATGAACATTCAAATACCAGAAAAATGAAACAACCAAACCTAAACCTGAGAGAAGAGCATAATGCAGATCCATTGACAAAACAGTGTGTTTTTTTGTCAGAAGAATCACCGTGGTTTCAAATGGAAAATGCTGATAGTGAGAGTTATCTAATATCAGACGACGTATTTTGGGCTCAGGAACTCATTCCTCGTAGCTATAATCTTGAATCTAAACAACTGACCCCTCTCACCAATTATAACACTTGAATGTAACAAATACTTTAATCTATGTTTTACGATGCAATTAAACCTACAATTTACCATAATGCTACAAGAACTTTAGTCTATGTTTTAGATACTACTGAACCTACACTATCAATATAACCCAAACTAACAAAGTGCTACTTAATTATCTCATCTCAAGAACATCTCTTTGTTTGATAACCAAAATTCGATATGCTATGTCAAATGAATTGGATCTGCGGAGGCGTTATAAAACTTTATCCTGTCTCAAATTATTTAGTAAGTAATGCAATTGTACTTCAAGTAGCCTCAGAATTTCACTGCCTATATCTCAAAATAGGTGAAGAATTAGTCACAACTGGAAAAAAAAAAAAAAAAAAAAAAAAAAAAAAAACTCCATAACATGCTTGGGGATTACATGTTAGACAATTACAGTAAGATAAAAGAGGACTCAAAGAAATAAAGATCTCCCAAGAATTTCAAAACAGAAACACATAATAATAATTGCATCAACAGATGCCCTATGAAGCAGACAACTCCAGATTCGTAAAGTACAGTGCAGTAGCCTCATCCAGTAAAAAAATCAGCACGCAATCCAACAATGTTCCGACACTAACTTTTAACTAAATCGGCAGCCAATCAAGCAATATTCCGCATAAATGAACCTCTCACGCCCATGATTTACCCAGAATTTTTCAAAGAAGCAGTAGCTATTTTGTTTTCCTAAATTATTTGACACCAACGCACGAAATATGTCTTCGAATCAGCACTAAATATGCGCTTCAGCAAATCCAGCAATTTGGACAATAATAAATTACCAAACCATAAATGCATAAGCTAAATCACAATCGAATTTAGAATTAGTGCCGTCAATTACCAAAGAACAGAAATCAAGCCCAAATTGGTCGCCGTAGGAGCAGCGGTGAGGAATTAGGTTCCCGCACGTAAATGCCTCAGATGCACGCATCCACTCCTGGCTCAATCACGACGGAGGTCACTGCGCGCATCCGCCGCCGCCAATCATCCTTTTCTGTCGGAACGAAATGGAGAACTATAGGTCGCACGATTCGCGTCTCCACAGTGATCCTCAGTTCCCCACAGATCTCCGTCGTCCTCTGCCGCCGTAAATTGGCCGTCGTTGTCACCTTCGGCTCAGTATAAGAGATTATACGGCGGTAATGCGCTGGCGAGAGTCGGTGGACCGAAATCGATCGATAGTCGGAATCTCTGTCCCTAAAACGAAATCTGAAGTATGAAGGAAGATAATATTATAATTATTTTTATTCCAAATTTATCTTATTAGGTTGGGTTGGATTGGGCTACTCCTAATAAAATAAATAATAAAAAAATATATAATATATTCCGATATTTTATTAAAAAAAATATCAATAATATATTCATTATCGAAAAATAGAAAAACATATTCGTTTTTAATTTAACTAAAAATATATAAATTTATTTTTCTTGGATAACTTGATTTTTAATTACCTAAAAAATAATGGCGAAATCAAAATTTTATACACTTTATTTATACATATAAATAATCTATTTATCTTTTTGTAAATATATATTTATTTCAATCAATTTTTCTCTATCATTGATATTTTTTAAAAATAAATAAAACCAACACTCTATTATTGCTTAAGAGCATTGAAATTCCTGTTTCCGACTCTCTCTAACTCTTATGACTGCATAAGACAATTTATTCTAACCATGCCCTGTTTCCGACTCTCCCTAACTCTTATGACTACATAAGACAATTTATTCTAACCATGCAAGGGATAATAAATTTAACGTTATATCTCAAAGGCCTTGGAAGAAAAGTCCAAAGACTCGACAACGTTGTCGCACAATGGTCGGATCAGCAACGGATAGACGACGGACGACTCAAGTAAACGAGAGATAAAGAAGGTAATAAAATATCGTCGATGGTTATCAAGTCTAATCCGGAAGTCTCTAGACTTGTTTACAGATACGGTTCCACAAACCATACGATATTGAACTCAAAACGAACAACTTCAGAAGATTCTCCACCCTAATCCTCATCATCATCCTGCTCGTCCTTGTCATCTTCGGACCCATCGCTGTCCTTGTCCTGCACAGACACCCCCAACAACGTTAAAATGTTATTCATTTAATGGGAGCTGGAACGGTAGAAATCCATCGGAGTTTTCCTTACAAGTGAAAATTTAACATTTTGATCGATACGACGTTCAAAGTAAACATCTTTGTTAAATTTAGGGTCTAAATCTTTATCCAACTTACCAAAATTAAGGGTTTTGATTGATTTTGACATCAAAAGGGATTTGATCTATAGTTCTCGAATGGAAAAAATATTTACAAGGGAGCAAAGTCATCTACGGGTTAAATATGAGAAAAGATAAATCTTTCTACTCAAACACTCATGTTTTCTAAAAACAGTCTGCAAGTAATCGACAGCCAATACTTGCAATTAGATAATGTAATAATGTATCATCGAGATTAAGACAGGCAACAGTCACAACACAGGCACGGGTCATAAGCTTTAAGAAAAAAAGTCGTAGATGAGCAAGGAAGGGTGCTTACCTCATCATCATCATCCATTTCAAAATCTTCTTCATCAGCTTCCTATTAAAAGGTAACATGAAACGGCATAAGAAATAAAATTATTGCCGTCAAGAAGCGCATTCATCCCGTCATTAATTAAGAAGCAATAAGAGATCTACGCTGCATTGACAGATATAAACAACAACAAAGGGGAAACACACGCCAAGGTGCAAAAACGTACGTTGTTAAAGTATGTCAGAGGATTTGGCCACAAATCATCCTTGATGATTTCAGCAACCTGAAATGGAAACAAAAAGACAACGGGTCTTAAAATTCAATGAATCGAGATAAAACCATCAAGCTGAAGCACTGATGATCAAAGTGATCAGGAGTTCATTAGCTATCCCCTCAACGAAGAATTTACCTCATCCTGAATATCTTCAATATCACCAGCATGATGGGAGTCATTAAACCAGGAAAAGAAGCTGCTGTTTCAAAGTAAGTTTGACATGAGAAATCAATATGACAATGAAAAATTGGGGAAATACTCGGCATTGTGTTGCCATGTTCGTTCTAATCCAGATAATGGCCTTAAGATAAAAAGGATGGTAATAGATCGATACATGCACTTTTATCCAGTATGAATGTATAAAATTTGAACCACAATATAAAAGAAGCAAATCCTCATCGACTTCTAAATGAAACTTTTATAACTAATTTCATGACAAAACTTTCAAGCACAACCAGCTTCAGTGTTACTTTGAGCATTGAACAGCATATATTTCCACAAAATCTGATCACGGTACTTTTAAAAGGATAAAGTATGCAGCCAAACTATTTCAAGATTGCTGCATCAATTATCTATTTATGATGTTAGGTCATTTCACCACTAATGAAAAATCGATATATACCTTTCACAACAGAATGAACACCCTTATTGCATCGACCATGGATGTCAGCAGTCAGCACCAATAGCATAACAGATATATTTGACTTTTTTCAAAGAACCATAGACTGAATTAATGAAATCAATACAGAAATATTTTTTGTTCTTTAAACTCTCATTTATTTCACATTATCTCATTATAAAAATGTCTTTCAATTCCCCCTTCAAAGAAAATTCAATCTACTTAAAGCACCTTATTGAGGTAAATAACAAACACTAAGCAACATTCAAACAGCAAGTTACATAAATAGGTGGTAGCATTCCCATCTCTGTGCTCTTCCGGTCATAGAATTCCAAGAGAAGGGAACTCTTTAATTAACCCCATGGACATAACTAACCTTTTTATAAGTTTCTAAAGTTGCAACCCAAATGTACACAATGACTAAACGTTAGAGTGCTAATTCATTGGTCGAAATCTATTCACATGCTGACTAGCATAACCTGCAAACTATACCGTAGCCATGGTGAAATAACACGGCATTTAAACAACATCATAAGCTCATACAGAGACAAACCATTAGAAACAAAAAGAGAAAAGGTTCAACCTTTCTTCAGCATGGGATCGCTTATTTCCATTTTTCTCTTCAGCAACGCCATTAGGGATGCCCTGCAAACACCAAACTCATAGATTCCACTAAGAAACCAGGAACCAGAGACCTAAATACCTAATAAACTTCAAACTGAACATGGAACCTTACCATGCCTTCTTTCCACTTAATAGGTGTTGCAGTGATTTTGGTAGTTCCTTCCTCGAGGAAGCTAAAGGTCTTTGTGAGCTTAGTATCCTCAAAGAAAGGATTGGGCTTGAAGTGCTGAAGGAAGACAACCAACTCAATTACTTGATGAATTTACATTGGTAAGCAATAAACCTAAGCATATTATCACTAAAAAAATACTCAAAGAAAGAAAATGAAAACTCACAAAAGTGATGGAATAACCGGATTTCACATCCTTGCAATCTTCTACTTCGAGGTTGCTTAGGTACTTGAAAATCTACAAGTGCAAACAGGTAACATCATATCAGATCCACCTTAAGTGGTTAAAAAATTATCTAAAATCCATTTTTGAAGGCCGTTATAAAACAATGATAACTTAAAACTCCTATATATTGCGAGATAAAAATGCAGTGATGAACGTGAAAGGAGAACAATGCATAGTGATTTCTTTGATCATTTATTCTATCTTTGCTTTCTGGATGAGGTATGGGGGAGTAAGTCTTACCTTTTGATCTTCTTCAGTCAAAAGTTCGCTGAGAGCAGGATGACTCATAAACTACAAAAGCAAGGATCAAATGAATTGGCAGAAAAGAAGACAAAATCAGTGGAGGAAAGAGACATCCGGGTGTATAGAATATGCTCTTATTACAAGAACTGGCTATCAATATAACTCACAGCAGTCAACCAGAAATCAGGAATCGATTTGATGACTTCGTTTCTCTTGTCATAAACAGGCTTACGAATCTCATTGTATTTCTGTTCCACTTCCAATACCTTTTCACTTGCTTCTTCATTGACCTAAAATCACAGAGAAAAACAGATGCAACAGCCAAAAGTTACTGTAAGTTCAATAATGTCTAAGCTTTTACTCCATGATCGACACTATGACTGCCAATTTGGTCTAAAACCCAACAAATTACATGAAAACGGATAGATACAAAACTATAATTCTTTCAGAATGCCTCATTATTTGACAATAAAGTATGATAGATTGAAATCCAATGAGACCTTCAATCTCTTGAATTGACAGAGTTGTGGCTAAGCCCGAACACAAATTATAGCTTAAAATTTGAAAAAGAAATTAATAAAATGAATCACAAGGTGAAACTAATAACAAAAAAGAGTATCTGGCAAAAACTACACACCATAAATCAACGCCACCTCATGAAAAAGTTATATAATCTTTTACACATAGGAATCTGCGGACTTATTTGCAGCTTTCATCCGATTCCTGAATTTCAAAAGTCTTCCAACGACTCTCTTCTCAGAAAGAAATATCTAAGATTGTATTCTCACTACATCAAGAACATATTTTATATCAATTTTCTCTTCGACGGATCCCATTCAGGAAAATATTGGACTTTGGAGCAAGAAACGTCGAAAATACAACCATTGGCTCGCCGTAAGATACGAAATTCAATAGAAAATGGAAATCTTCCCAATTTTTAATTTTTTTTTCCAATTACGCTTTGATAAAATCTAACAACGGTAGATTTACCTTTTCAAGCTCATCCTGAATTTCCTGGAGCTTTTCGATTGAGAGGACGAGCTCTCCATCAATGTGTTCAGTTCCGTTGCTCCCTTCCTCCGCCTCTCCCACCTTCTGCTTCTTCCCTTTGTCTGCTCCCATTCCTACAACTGCAAGGTGGGAAGGAGAAATTCCAGTGGGATATGACTGGAAATCGCGAGCTTGCCTTAAACCCTGATAAACCCTAAGAGAGAGAAAGAGGGAGGAAGGGAGAGAGAAAGCCAACCATAGAAAGGTATTATTAGGGTTATGGAGGCTGCAGAAATAATGGAAATTAAATTAATTACTATAAAATAAAGGGACTAATATGCAATAATTTGGGTTAGTAATTTATGGGTAAACCTATTATAGACCATTAATCACTAATGAGCACTTTTGGAATTAATTAATAATTTTATTATATATAGAACGTAAATATTTATTAATTATAGAATGTAAATTAAATATAATTCAAATTCAAATGGGATGTACATAATTTTATGTGTAGATTTTTTATTTAATGTGAAGTATTTTTTTTTAATATAATAAAAATGGAGAGTTAAAAACAATTACCCCAATCTCTAATACATTTTAAAAATCATTATAAATATTTATTTTAATTATTAATATTAATATTAATATAAAAAAAAATAGATTGAATTTTTTTAAAAAAAATAATAATAATAATATATAAATAAATATTTAATGTGATATTTGTTCATTTTTAAAAAATTTAATATTGTGAAAACTTTTTTAATAAGAATATATATTATGTAAATAAAAACTTCAAAATCAAAACCAAATAAACTTTTTCATTCCTCTGCACAATGCTAGCTATAATATATGGAATATGTTTAGTCTTGATTTAAAATTAATATAAAATGCATCGTTTACATTTAAATTTTTATTTAAATAATATTTTAATTTAATATTTTATGAAAAAAACAGTAGATTTTTATTGAAAATCACATTATATAAAAATGTTGATTTAAATTTTAAATGATAAAAAAACAAATTCAAATTGTACTTATTATCATATTTTTCATGTTGTAATGGATCCATAACACCCATGTCTAAGGGGTTATATTCCCTCCATCCCGTTGCAATTGTGGCGTTTGCTTTTTGCACGTAGATTTTTTAATATTAATATTATATTATATTGTAATAAAAAAGATAAAAATACCCCTATTAGTATGGTATAATATAAAAGTAATGACATTTGTATAATATATTGTAAGTTGAAAGTATATTTATTATGTTAATAGGTAGTACAATTACTAAATTAGAAAATGATAACCTTGTTTTGGGACGGACGAAAATGAAAAATGATAATCTTTCAATGGGACGGAGGGAGTATATAATTTGAACTACTTACTATTTGTCCTTATTTTCGAATTTTGGGTATTTCTTGTGATTTATGACTTTTAAGTTAGTTCTTGATTTTTCTTGTGAAAGTCATATATTCTCTCCGTTTCATAACAAAGTATCTATTTTTTTTTATTTTGGTCTATCTCATAATAAAATATTCATTTTATTTTTTTTTAAGTAAATGTACTATCTACCTAATATTACAAATATCTTTACAACTTCTAATATATTACACAAATATCATTAATTTTATATCACATAATACTGATAAAGTTATTTTAGTCATTTCTACTTTATTCCTACTATATCCTAATATAATACTAATATTTCTAAAATTTCATGTAAAAAAAAAATGGATATATAGTTATAGAACGGATAAAATATTTAGGTTTTTATAGCTATACCTAAAAGTTGGTTCTTGATTTTCTTTTCAAATTCTTCCCTAAACTTTTTATTAATTTGAGGTGATAGTAGAAAATGCAATCCAATTCCCTTTTTTTTCTTCTTGAACTTCTTATATTCTTTTTAATTAGGTTGTGTGTTTGTTTGGGGGTTTGAGTTTGCTAGCCAAACATAAGACTATGTGCAATGGGAGTTCTTCTATGCTCTATCCGTTCGGCTAGAAAGTATATGTATTTTTATTTTGGGACGTCTAATTACAGTAAATATTTCATTAAACATTTTATTTTTTTCTACAAATACTCTTACTTTACATCACATCATTACTTTTACACTAAAAAGCAAAGGTAAAAAATATCATTACATTACTTTGAACTACCCGTTATAATTAAAATATTATTATTTCTTAAACACTATGCTAAAAATAATTGTATATTTTATGTGTGGACGGAAGAAGTATAAAAAAACGTGTAAATAAAAAAAAAAGTGCAATAATCATATTATTTTTTTCTATTTCCTCCGGTTATGAGAGAAAATGAGTCTGAATTCATTTATTTTTATTTATGTATTTTTATAAAATATTTTTTTGAATCAATTAATGGAATGGGTTGGCTGAGGGAGAATGCTTGAGAACCAAAATATGGGTTTTGCACTGTGGATATATTTTGTGTTTGTTTGGGGTTTGGATTTTGGATTGTAATTTGAATAATAAAAAAATTGAATTGAAATAATTGTATAATGTGATATAAATATGTATTGATGTGATATTTTGAACGTAAAATTAATTTTTAGTATAATATAAAAAATAAAAAATAAATGTTAGATTTGATATTTTTTTTGGGAAAAAATTTGTATGAATAGTAAAAATATACCAAAAACCTTCAAACAAATACATAGGTGTACCTGAAGATATCTAAAATTTGAACTCGTAATTTTAAGTTGTGTTTAGTACAGAAAAATGAGACAAATAAATAAAAATTGCCCCATTTCTCTTGTTTATTTGAGTCAAAAAGTGGAACTTGAGAAATATCATTCATCTGTTTTCATTTCTCACACATATACAGATAAATGGAGAAATGACATTGAAGCATATTTTTTAAAATTTTTAATTTTTTTATACTATTTAATTTTTATAATTTTTTAAAAATTATATTATTTTAATTTTACAAAAATCGAATTTAATTTATTGTTAAAGTATTTAATTTTTACGATATTTTAAGAAATTGTACTAAAATATAATTTTAAAAAATATCGTATATAATCTATAGTAAATTTTTTTTCAAAAAAAATAACTAAAAATATTTTTTATTAATTCTCATTCGTTAAAATTCTTTTTTATATTTGATTAATTATTTATTATTATTTGACTATTCATATAGCTGTTTTTCTTTTATATTTCTTAATTAAATTTTCAGTTTAACGAATAAGAGAATGAATTCTCGTTCTTTATTCAATTTCATTTTTATTTATATGAATTTCCATTTTTTTATGCAAACGCGCCGTAGGGTAATGTCATTAATAAAAAGAAATAAAATGCCGATGTGGGGTGTTCTGATTGGATGGTGCCATTGTGTTTGTAACAGCAGGGGTGACCCACTTATGCGCGCCGTCTGCTTCATCCTGATCGTACATTCCTTGGGGCCCACACCCTTACGTGTCAAGCATCCACTCACCCGACCTCGTTCGTCGACAGCGAGTGTGTTACGTTAACGTTTCGATTTTGGTTAGAAATTGGATTTGCTGGTATATATAATTTAATTAATATTTATATGATTAAGAGTTTGTTCTTTTTATAAGTTTTGAAAAATTATGATTTAAATTTAATATTAATATAATACATGATAAAATATTTTGTAAAAAAATAAAAATATAATTTAAAAAAAAATATACAAAATTTAAATAGTATAAACATGAAAATTTTGGTGTAAAAAAAGTACCCTAAAGTTTTTTAAAGTATTTTATTCTTTTCTTTCGTCTCATTTAATATAATTAATATTTTTTAATTTTCATATAATAAGTAAATATAAATATTTATAAATTAATTATATATATAATAAAAGAATTAAAGAACGTTGAATCTATGAGAATTTTTTTTTAAAAAGAAAAATAGGAAATTATAAATAAATTCCACTTCAAGAAATATTCTAGTATCAAACAAAAGTACAGTGTGAAATTCCGATTTTTTTTTAAAAAAAAAAAAAGAAAAAAAACAGTGTCAATATTTTATCTATCAATCAATTTTTTTGGTTATAATTTAAGAAATATTAATATTATATTAAAATTTAGTAGAAATAAATACAAAAATATTAAACTACCTTTTTAATGCTGTATGATATAAAAATAATAATATTTGTATAATATATTATAAATTGAAAAAATATTTGTAATGTTAAGTTGATAGTACAGTTACTAAAAATGAAAATGCATACTTTGTTATGAAATAGACCAAAATAAAAAAAATAGATATATTATTAAGGAACGGCGGAAGTAATTTTTTTGTTTTTTTTGTGTTATGTAAATCAAAGATTGAAAAATAAAGAATTTTAATTTCTATATTTTTTTCGTGTGAGTTATATGTATTTATTTGTTTTTCTTTCACGTAAATTTTATTATATTCGTATTTTGTAGGTAATAGTACAATAGAAAGATAAAAATATAATTGTTATGTATTTTTTTAACAAACAAGAAGTAAAATTCAAAGATATGGAAAATATCTTTAAACTTAATTAATTAGTGCCTGAGATTATGAATTTCTAAACACTATACTGTACATAAAGAAATTAACTGGAAAATAAAATGCTGGACATTTAAAATGGTGATCCCTAAATCTGACTTTGCTTTGTTGAAGTTGATTGAAGATGATTGTAGAAGAAAAATCTAAATCCTTAAATACTTCTTGAAAAGATGTTTTGGAACCGTCGCCAGCAACCGCCGTCAACCGCCCAAAAGAAACGTTTTGAAACGCCGCCTGGTCAGTTACGGCAACCGTCTTGTCAACTGCATAACCCAACCGACTAATGCAGCGACTAACTGGTCGCTAGACCAAAAGACTCATTGACCGCCCCCACCAAGCGACCAAACTACTGTTCACTTAAGTGGGCAATCAATTACCAGACCTTACTTCGTCCGACCTCCGTAGCAGCCGACTTTACTTGGTCCGACCACGTACCATCAGACCTGTCTGTTCGACCTGCTGACCATCCGACCTGTCTGTCCGACCTGCTGACCATCAGACCTGAGGACCTCCCGACCTGAAGACCTTCCGACCTGCGGACCTCCCGACCTGAGGACCTTCCGACCTGCGGACCTTCCGACCTAAGGACCTTTCGACCTGCGGACCTCCCGACCTGAGGACCTTCCGATCTGCGGACTTTCCGTCCAGATCAACCGACCGAGGACCTCCCGACCTGACCAACCGACCGAGGACCAACCGACCTAACCACAAATTTTTTCCTTTTTCACCCGACTTCGAATCTAACTTTCTTTAAAATCCTGC